TGATGTAAATCAAAAAGAGCAAAGGTCCTAAGACTGAGCCCTGAAGTACCCCACTTGTGACATTAACCCAGTTTGACTAAAATCCTTTTGTAATAACCCTCTGCTTTCTTCCATCCAGCCACTCTTCTATCCATTTTGCTAACTTATCCCCCACTTATAATGCTTATATTTAATTTTATTCTTTATTCTTTTTGAGCCAATGTGGTTTTCTTACTTGCAGCCATCTTTGTTTTTCTATAAGGAACATGCCTATCTTGAATATTTATAACTTTATTTTTAACAGTTTTCACATTTGCTCAGTAGCTTCAATGAATTCAATTGACCAATTTACAGCATATAATTCTTGTTTCATCTCATCAAAATTTTCTTTTTTTGAAATTTAGAACCAAAATCTTATTATTCCTCCTCTCCATATGGAGCAAAACATCAAATCTAATTGAGTAATAATCACTTGAACCTAGATGCTCCCAGATCTATACCTTATCAATCATTTTTTTTTTATTATAAGTTAACAATAAATCTAAAATAGCATTGTTCCTAGTAGACTCCCTAACCAATTATTGAAGAAAACTATTCTGAACAGTTACTAAAAATTCCTCATGATTTCACTCAAACATATATGTGTGAGTGTATATATTTATACATAAAACTAAGATAACAGATGAAGTGTATTCTGATAAAACAGTTAGTACACAGGACACACACAAAAAGGGCAATGAATTTCAAAAAAAGACCCAAAAACCTTGAGCACTTTCAAATAGTTGATTCTTCTTCAGGAGAAATAAAGGATTGAAGTGTATGATAGGCATAATGACAGAGTCTGCTACAGTCTTAATACAGAGTGCAAATATTCAATGGCTGTTGAAACTGGCCCTGGTGGACTGATGGTAAGTTTACAAAGTTACAATGTTAAAATCCTTGTTTGATTGCTTGCAGTGGACAGAGAGCCAACAGCAAATTATGTAACTTTGCACTAAGAAAATAACAAAACCTAATGAAATAAATTAAATAGTACACACTTTTACATATACTATGCAGGAATTATGTGATATACTGTGACTTTTCTGAGTATCAATGAGCAGAAAGAAGCACTACCAAAAGAAATACAGTTTAAATATGTAAACTAAACACCTGAAAACTGCATGTCCAATTAGAATGCTACAGATAGCCTTTAAATTAAAAAATAAAAACATGTAATTAGGAATATATTTATTCAGATACTACTATGCAAGTATTCGATTTACTTATACTAATCTATGCTTTGTATCATTATTTAGCAATTAGATGAAGTAGTTTAAGTTAAACTTTACTTTTGGTGAAAGGCTATATTAATGTCATACACTGTATACACCATTTATCTGTTTATTTAATATTTGCTATTTGGAATTTTAATGTAGATATTTATGTATGACTTGACTTAAACTTTTGTTATTTGTTCTGACAAAAATTACTTTAATTAACCTAAAACCAAAGTAGAATGAAGTGTACATTCTCATAAGATTATATTCCTCATTGGACAGTATTTGTTTTCAATTCAAACTAGTTATTATTTCAAAAGACTGCATCTTACAAGATTAAGAAGAAAATGTAGTAACATAAATTAAAAAGGGAGTATAATTACCATATAATCAGCTCTATCTGATTTTACTCCACCATTATCTTTTTCAAATTCCCATGGTAGCCAACCTACTACAACAGACGTGGAATTCACATCAAGTACTTTTGGCTTATCTTTGAGCACAGGAGGGTCTAGAATGATAAATAATGATTGTAAGATAAATAAACTTTTAATCAAGTTTTACTTGTTAACTAATTTCTCTATTATACATGTTATGGGTATCAGAGTCATTACGATATAGAAGGGCAATTTTCTTTCCATGTCTCATAAAGTAAAATAGCAATCTATATTTTAATTTTACTCTAGGTATACATTTTATGTAAATTTACATATGTAACTTCTTAGAATTCATTTAATGAACACATCGACTGGGATGACAATATTACACATTAGTGAATCAAGGTACAATGCACATTAATGTAAATGTTGGTGTTTCTTTGCATTAGTATTCATAAATGTTAGACTTAGGCTTTATAAGATTCTTGTCTTTTTAACTCTTTCTGGACTGGAAAGGAGGGTCACTGATATTCCTAGGTTTTCTTCCTTCTCATGGTGAAAACACTTAGAGAAATTGCACAAAACTAAGAACAAACTTACTAATAAGTACTTAGTCTTAAAAAAAAAGTCATCTAGAGACATACCCCTACCCATTAGAGAAGCATCAGTGAAACAATAAAAATCTAGATAAATGGGGAGGTGGCAGTGGGATATCAACCAAAGTATTGGCACGATCCAGCCATCAAAACAGAACCTCAAAAAGAGAGGGTAGCAGTATCACAAGAGAGGGTAGAAGACCTCAAAAGATTTTCCATTGGTCACTCAAAGTCCACTAAAGAAGCCCCATGTAAGCCTGGCCTAGATGGATAAAATGTTCCAGAGAAGTGAGAGCCCCCAAAAGAGATAGAACTTCTTGCAATAGGAAGTGTAGGAGAAGCAGGAGTCGAGGTGACAAGATGTTCCATGTTCCACATATGAATGGGGGAAAGCTAAGCCCAACTGAGTCAAGAATGGAAAAAGACTCCAAGATGGACCCATTATTGAGTCAGAGTTAGGAATTATTTGCAAAACTTGACCAACCAATCCAAACAAGCCGCCACTTGGAGGAGAATTAACTTGGCCAAAAAAGGGGGCTTCTCAAGAAGATGCATGGTGGAACCAGTCATCCATATGATAATGGAAACAAAGTCCAAGACTATAAACATGGCGATCAAATGCTCCCATGACCCTGTTGAAAACATAAGAAGCTAAAGCAATGCTGAAGAGGAGAACTCAAAACTGATACACTGAAACAAAGAAAATAATGTGAAGATGGAACAATTGGAATATGGAGAAAGGCATCCAAAACATTGACATTGGTCCTCTAAAGTCCAGATGAAAAGAACCAATGGAGAGGAAGAAACTCCTCCATCTTGAAACAAGGAACCATTAAGTGTGGTTGAAAAGAGAAAGGTCAATGACAGGACAAAAGTCTCTGATTTTTCTGGGGATGATAAAAAGATAAGAATAAAACCCTAGAGAGGTGCAAACTACTCTCTCCATGGCTCTTATGTCCAAAAGATCCCATACTGCAGCCCTGAGATGTAAAAGATGCAGAGGGTCTGAAGGAGGAGGAAAAGGACCAGGAAAAAGAGGACAGACAAAGCAGGAAGAGATGAGAAGTGAAGAGCAAGGTCATGTGTAAGAACCTGAACACTACACCAGTTGGCTCCAACATGGGTCCAAAGTTCTGCAAACAGAAACACATGTGCTCCTACAGGGCCTGAGCCAACTGGGTACAAAGGGAGGGAGTCACTAACATGATGTGAGACAGTCAAGCCACAGAGAAAGGGGAACAGTAAGAAGCAGTTGATGGATGAGAAATGGGAGAAGAAAAGAGGTGAAGAGTGTCATGTTCCAGAAGGCCCCAATAACAGAGGAACCAAGCAAACAAGAAAAACCTTGGCCAGGGTATTGAAAAGGATCAAATATAGATTCCCAGAAAACTTGGAATCATGATGTGGGACTTCAGATAGGAGATGAAGAGAGGATAGGTAAAAAAAAGAGAGATGGATGAGAAAAAGGGGAAGATGAGAATTTTTGAGCACTAGAGAGTGTTACTGGAGATAAAGGATTAGTCACCTTAAGTGAGCAGAAGGGACTCCAAGTATTGGAAATCCAAGAATGGAAAAGGAGAATGGCTATCAGCCATGGCAAAAAAATCTTAGAGTTGAAGTTGGAATGAGACTTATCTAGGAACATGTCAACATGCCTTGAGAAGAAGGAAAAACCAAATAATCCTCAGAATGAGAGTCATGTTTTAAGAAACAGGAAGAATCAAACGACATGGAAGAAAGTAACAAACAAACTTGAGTAATCATATAAACAGAGATTTGAAGGAAGAACAGGTAATGATACAAGAAGTTATCAAAGAACCCATGACACAATGAACTGTGGTGGTACATCCCCACAGTCAAAATACCTCTAGTGGCCACAGACAAAGAAGGGGTAGTGTTAGCAACATCACCAAAACCTTGAGAGAAGGTAGAAGTCATTGCCACTTGAGAATTCATGATCATTGTAGCAATTCTACAGATAAAAAAATATATACTTTTGTTTTAGTTATTTGGTTAAAACAAACTAAAAGGAAACCAAAAAATGTTAATGTGAAAAGGCAGCACAAATCTCACAAAATTGATTAAATTTAAAGAAACATGTTCATTAAAGGTAGTGTTGAGGATAAGAATGAAGTTACTTTTGAGTGCATGTACTTATGGAATCTACTACACATGGAGGATGTGTTGCCCTCCTATTTGTCGGAGGGCTATTGTCGCATGATAATTACATCATGCATTAGTGCAGTTCACATTGTAACACGTCTTTGGTGGGAAACAGCTCAAGGCTTATACCATACATAAAATCTCAAAGACAGATGTACAAGGAATAGCTAATGTGTGAAGAGAGGCAAGCCTATTGTTTCAGAAAGATTTATTGGTGACTTAGAACCTGATCTATAAAAATAGTGATAGATCATACCAGGTAAGAACATTGTTGTTAGCATTAATCTTAGCCAAAATCAATTTATATCTAATAAAGGTATTTCATTTTCAATAAATTACAAGTTCTTTTATTTATTTATTTATGTTCTTTGTGAACAATATTCCTAACAATAATATTCAGTATTACTCAACAGAACATTTTGCCATCACCTCATAAGGCTTACCTGATGTCTTATGATAGAAGAAAGTTGTCATAGCTTGGAAACAAATATAGATTAAGATGAAAACACTTTCAGAAACAATAAGCACATCTTAAGAAACTATAATAAAATTCCCAGATTTGTGTTTTGTTCCCTAAGTTTTCTAAACTTCCCATTATATTCCATTATTCTTGTCTACCTGAGCTAAGCCTTGTCACTGTCACATGAAACCATAAATCACTTATCACACATCTTTATTCACTTTAAAATGATGTAAATAGTTTTTGATATGCTCTATCCAATTATATTTTAACTCTGCCTGTAGCTATTTTAAAGCTAAATTTCATTTGAAGTTTTTCAATCACCTGCTGTTAGGTAATAAAATGAGTAGGGCAAAGAGGTTGTACTAATAAAATATTGAATAAAGGAAACAAAATGAGAAACAAAATATTGATAATTATATTCAAAAGGAAAAATAGCTTCTTACCAAATATAAATATATTCTTTGGGATGAGCAGAAAAATTCGAAAAATCAATATGTGCATTGTTTACAAGTGAGACTCTTTGGAAGTGTCGAGAAATGTAAGTTTGAACATTATTTTCATTTTTCTTTAAAGATTACACTAATTAAATATTACAACATGACAAAATACACATTTTAAAATATTTCTAATTGAAGCATTGTTGAAATAAAGGTGAAATTATTATTTTTACCTAAAGTTTGAAATTTGATTTGCAGTTGTGTATTCAACACCTGAAAGGAGCTCACCAGTTCAGAAAGAGTTAACTGTTCTAAAAGGTAATCAAATAGTTATTGCTTGTTTAATACTTGTTTCATATATGAAAAAAAAAACTGTAAAAACCCAGGTTAAAATACATTTTGGTTGAGCATGCTGATTGCTGAAAAATATTCCATTTATTTGAAACCTTTCAAACTTTCAGAATAAAAAAACACTAAAAGTGTACAATTTATATTTTTCAATAGTTATACCATGTTTTGGTGAAATCAAAAGCTTGAAAGTGTTGATATTCTTATTCCTTTGGAAAACTAAAAATATATATACAATAATGTTCTTTTTGTATGATGTCAGTTTAGCATGTTACATATATAATCCATTCAGACTTTTACAATGATTCCAGAAGTTGCATTGAAATTCATATACAAATTATAAATGCATAGCTAAAAGTATGTGTATGCGTTTTGAATATATGTACAGTTACAGAGGTTAAGTATATTATATTCAAATGATTTTAGAGCCTCACCTAGTTGCTAAAGTCCATGTTGCCACATTCAGTCATGCTCTATGTGATAACTGTGTCTCTTATCAATAGTCCTGCAGCATAGTTGCCATTGCAAAAGTCTTCATAGTAATGTTGTTGCCAAGTTTTTATAGGGCCAGGATTCTTTACAGTAGGTGTCTGTGACTTGTTGGCAATACATATCAACAATAAATGGACAGCAGAAAATCCACTTGTTTTAAAATAATGTATTCAAAACAAGTCAAATGTAAAAAATTTGTTACACTATTGGTTATCACAGTTGTGACAGAATGGGCGAAAGCCTGATGGACTGCTAAAAGCTTGAGAATGTTGATGTGGAGTGCAGACTCCTCTACAGATCACAAACCAGAAATCTCTTGAGAGTTGAGGAAAGCTCCCAACCCACCAAAGGTACATTCATAAACAGATGTAATTCTGGATGAGGTGGAGGAATGGGAACCCCCACTGTGGTCTGATCCCTGTGGAGCCATCAAACTAGGTCTACTATGATCACGAAAAGAAGGTTAACAGGATAGTACAAGGGATCCAGGGAAAAGTTCCACTGATTAAGAAGTGTCCACTGAAGAGAAAGCATATGAGCTTGACCCATGGGAATGAGAACTTCCAAGGAAGCCCATGTCTCCAAAAGAGATAGAACCTCTTGAGCCAGGAGAGATAAGGGCCTTTGTGACTGCCCATTCAATATCCCTGAGACAAAAAGGTGAACGCTGGGACCAACTGAGGTGTGAATTGAAGAAAACCCACAAATGAACCAGGTACTGAATGAGGTAAGAATAGACTTCTCCAACTTCATCAGAAAACTCACCTGTGCTGCTTTCTGTGGAAGCAGATGTATGTGATTCACTGATTGCGAATGGGAATAGGCAAGCAGGAGCCAGTCATTCATATGATGAATGCTAAGACCCAGCAAGCGAAAGTGATGAACAAATGAATGAACTACTGAACAAAACACATAAAAAGCTGAAAAGAGACTGAGTGACAGTGTCCTGAACTGGAACACTTGACCCTCATGGATGAACCAAAGAAAAAGACATGACTCTGGAGCAATGGAAATCTGAAGATAGGCATCCATCACGTTGATTTTGGTCATCCAAAAAAACACCCAATATAGTGTCAGATAGAACTTCATGGTGAAGCAAGGGGGTTCCAGAAAGGCATTCAGCAGAGACACATCTATAACTGCTCTCCAATCGCTCGTTGTTTTGGGGAACACAAAGAGATGGGAATAAAAACCCAGATATGTAGGAAACATCCACTCATTAGCTCTTTTGCATAGGAGAGAGAAAGGATCCCGAGGAGGAGGAAAGGAAGGTAAAGGCTGGGGTGAGGAAGAAGGAGGCTGAGAAACTAGGATAGGCAGATCCTGGAAGGCAATGGAAGAGGAGGAGGCAAACATGTGGCTAGGTACGATAAAGAGGAATGTAACCTACCTACATCAATCTGTGATTCTAGGGTATCCCAAAAACAGAATCACGTAGAATAGGGGCCTATTGGAGATCTCGTAGGGAGGAAAGGGGGATATGAACCCCTTTTAGTAAAGCATCCCTCCATAACAAGTCCCATCATCAAAGCAACGAGGTATTGAGGCAAGAGGCAGAAGCTGATAAATGAGCCATGGTGGCCCAAAGGAGGGTCCTGAGCTCTTCTGGAAAGACCTCCAGAGATTGATGAAAGGCCTCAGACATTAATTAAAGGGAGGAAAGGTAGCATAAAAGTGAGGTAAAGGAAAATTGAATCTTAGAAAATTGCACCTGATTGAAGCAGACAGAAGCTCCAGGATTTGAGCCCCACAGAGGAAGGAGAGGATCTAAATTCTGAAAATCAAAACGGGATGATAAGTCAAGGCATATTAATCCAATAAATGAGGGGAACAGAGCCTGCCTATACCCAATTGTAGTTGATCAGAAAATCTCTGAAAAAGAACATTCATGTCGGTAGGAGGAGGAAAAACATAATCAGAAGGTTTTCTTTCACCCAATAAGGCAGTGGTGGAATCACAGGCTATAGGGGAAACACCTAAAACATGACATACCTGATTGAAAATTGTAGGAAGGGATAGGTAGGTGAATGTCCTGAATGGGTGTAGACTGTGATAGACCAAAAAAGGAAGATGCCAAAAAACGAGTCCAAATTTTCTTCCTCGTGATGGTAGCCCTCCTCAGAAACATGGTCAGGTGGAGAATTAGAAGAAATTACCGGCCAAATGTAAGACTATCTACCTGTGAACCAAGTCGTGCCATGTGAGCTGTCATCTATGGCGGGAATATCATTATCCATCACATTAAATCTCGAATTCATATTAAAAACGTAGAATTCAGAAACAAGAATTTAGTTGAATGCAAAATTGTAGAAACAATTGAAAACAAATGCAAAATTTAACAAAAATTGTGAGATTAAACTTCAACTGAGAAGATAACAAAGCACAATCAAAACTGTAGTCATGCATGGAAAAAATTAAACATACATCAAAACTGTGTCATGGCAATCTAGAAAGTGAGGATTGAGCAAGAATAGCAGAGTAAGCTAGTTGCACCATTATACTATCATATTTTATGTTTCTTGCTATATTTTGTCACTGTTTCAAAAATATTTATCTTCAGTTTCTAATTGTTCTTTTTTTGCCACACAAACCAGCTGTTTTCATAATGGAGACACGGTATGTAGGTACAATAGAGATCTTATATTTGAAAAAAGAGCAAGTTTGATTCGACACAAAAAATTTCAAATATTTTACTGAAGAGTTAAAATGAGATATTTGTGTATTTTATTCAGAAGTTTAATTTAAGACTTATTCCAAATGTATGTTTCTTGTTGAACTGTGCTGATTGTTTGTTCTATTTATATCATGATGTCTCATATTTCATTCAAGTTCAGTTCATAAGTGGAACATGTATGCTGATTCACATAGGGGCAACTAAAACAGTTTCTAGCTTTGCAAGTTTAATGACACCCTTCCACCCTTAACTATGTGACAGTCGCCTTGCTGTGTAGGTGTACAATTAACAAATATTTTGTTCATGGTCTTTATAACATGTATCCATTTATCCAAGAGAATATTATCATTAGAGTAATTAATACTTCATCATTTACTTTCTTATCCGAAAATCATGCAAAGGATCATAATTAGAATGATTTTTTTTTCAATCATTGCACAGAGAATAGCAAGTAATTTGTCTTTCAAACCTAAGAAATAGTTTACTAAGGTTTTGACTCATACAAAGGTGATTTAAAATATGTATATTAGGTTAAACTACTTTGCATTATCAGATGTTACATATATATGTAAAAGTAATCTGTAAGAAAGTATTACATAATAACATTATATTATATGACTTATATATTTTTGAAATACTTTCTGACTGAATGTGTACCAATCAGCAGTTACATGGCTACAGATATAATAATAAGTGAAAGATAAGTCTTCCATAAAATAAATTTCTTAAAACAACAAAATGCACATTTCACTAGTCTTGTATGAAAGTTAAGTTTTGAGAGTAATTACCTTCAAAAATGAGCTTGCAAGTCATGAAATATATTGCACATACACAACGTGGTCACAAGTAAATAGACACCACCTTTTCAGAAAAAATGAAATTTTTCAGTCATATTCACATGAATTCATATATTTACAATTTAATTAATATCTATTAGATCTCCCTTTCGCTTCGTGGATTCTTTGGGGCATCGTGAGAATCATCTCGTAAATTTTAGATTGTGGGATTTTCGCCCACTTTTGCTTGAAAACTTGGAGTAGATCGCTTTCGTAAGGTTTTTTTTTGTTGTTTCTTGACTTGCCGATCGAG